TCATTATTTATTTTTTATTTTATTTTTTATTTTTGATTACAGCTTGATTCCACACTGTATTTTTGGTACAAGTATGGAATTTTCAGCATGGATATCGGTAGCCCAAATTTTGCAGGCCGACCATAGATATCAGGTGTGCGTCGGCAGGGGATCGAACCTCAGACCATGTGCATGGTCGGCGAGAATCCTAACCACTGTGCCACCGACGCACAGGCAGCTGTTGTTGAAATCCTGTAGCGAACTGTTGGAAAATGTTCTGGTGACATGTACACCAAGTCTGTGAAGCATACAGAGGCAACGGTCTGAAATTATTGTTGAAACTTCGTTTGTTATTCCGTTTATTTAGTGGTATGGATCTTCACATTGATTTCACAGTAACAGACAATACCTTCCTTCTCCTCTTCGTGGATGAGGCTGACATCCTCATTTGTGCCCGGGTAGACAATGTGGTAATAAAGAGACAATTGTGCATGAGCAGCTTTACCAGCAGTTAGGTCCTGTACCTCACCTGGAAGATTTTCCAGCTAGTAATTCAAAGACCTTCAACTGCAGGGGCATGGATGAGAATTTCGAAGGGAGAATCATAAAAGTGAGACAGATCTTCATTGCTCTAAAATCAATGTGGAAATGCGCTACATACAATACAAGAAACAAGATCTGCGTTTTCAACATTAATGGCAAATCAGTGCTTCTACATATTTTACACCGTTTTGAACACGCGTCATCAAAAGCATTTCCAGCAGGCTAATGCACACTTTTATCAACACTTGTCCTTGCCCGATACTGAAGATCAGAGTGCCGGACACAGAGGTTAGGTAAGAATGAACTCCAGCAGTGCAGTGGACCAAACCAAGAACCTAATGACCTCAAAAAATGTGCCAAAAGGGTTAAAGATTCTTTGGATACAGGCTGTGGAGACCGCTGGGTGAAATCATATGCCATATCCTAGAGTATAGGTTGAGAGTAGGGGACTACAAGTTGGGCATCCCTTCGAGTGTGACATATAGGAAGTAGTGTGAGGAGGAGGTGAAAGCTTATGGACAGTCGTTGAACCAACTAGAAAGGAATTCAGGGAACCGAATCGAATGGTGACATGCTTTTAGTGCCCTATGCTACACTCGGAACCCAAGTAATACGGATCAAAAGACCTATGATTCGAATCTTGTCGTCAATCGTATTTCCATTTAACCGCCCACTGCATCAATTAAAAATTCAGATTAATAATTGAATTGATAAATTTTATCACTTTTTAACATGATTAATATCTAGGAATTTAAAAAAATAATTATGTTTTCTAAATAGGAAATTATAATTGCATATTATTAAACTGGAACCTATTATTATTACTATTAGGACAGCATTTTGATAAACTGAAAATTATCTGTTATCCCACATATCAGTAGGATAAATTAAAAAACTGAAAGTATACTGAAAGATTAAATCTGTTTCAAATCAAAATCTAGATCCTTTTTCCCAACAAAAATTAATAACATACCACTGAAACTTAAAATATATTAAATAAACCCCCAATTTGTTTCCACAATAGAAGTGTTTGGGTGCGAATGTATAAACATATACTGACTGGATTGACTGACTGGTACCAATATAGAACTTTGCACTGATGTGCAGCAGTTCGAGTCGTCACACTTCATTTAGCACACAAAGCCTATACCGGATATGGAAACTGGTAACGAAAAAAACAAAGAGAAGTTGGACAGACAGAAGGAGATAAAATATATATAAGACAAATTGTAAAAGCTTATGGCTAAAATTGATATGATTATGAGCAGTAATTTATGCTCGAAACGTCATCCATTTGTTAATACTGCATCACTGTGCGCTGTTTGAAGTAAAATTGCCTTATATGGAATTACATTCTACCACAATGCCCAAGTTCTACGTTCACATTAACTCCTGACTTTGAGTTAGTTGTGTTCTCTGAGCTTGTTAACTTAATTGAGAAGCTTTGTTGTCCTTTTAGACAATATCTTCAGCTGAAGGTTTAATATGGAATTAACTCATTTGAATTCCCCATGAATGATATAGTTGTGTCTCGTGACAAACATTGTCGTGATTATCGGTAGTCGCTATATTGGTTGAAGTAGAGTATCTCTGAAATTTATATTGACAATATCACAGCAGTTATTCGAGATTATTTCAAATTTCACACTGACTGATTTTATTTTGAATGAATCGCTCGGTCACATTTAAAATGTTACCTCCAGTTGCGGACACTTCGAGGTTATCACTGAGATAAACGTCATGTTATGTACTTAACGATCGCCTAGCAGTCGAACTCACTATGCGCGTTTTGTACTGCATTTGGGATTCGCCAGGTGGATGCTTTTCCCACTGGTAATAGATTCCACCACGCAATGTTTCAAAAGCACAAATACTACCAACTTAAGCAGCAAATCCAGGCGAATTTATTATTTGTTTCTGCGTATTGTTTTGTAAAGTCTTCAGATTCCTCATAAAGAGTAAGTTGTCATTGATTCTTAACATCCTACAGACCGTAAACACATAGTATACACCTTTCTTTGTGGATCAGATCAATAATTATTAACTTCATGGATTGATGCTATGTTTCATTAAGGCTAATGGGAATTCACTGCGTCTAGATCTTAGATTAACTAAGATTGTTCGTCGAAAAAGCCGATTATTCAACATTTATTGTATATATCTCAGTCAGCTTAATTAGTAAGGCTTGAGAATCTCATTGGTAGACACATACTCCTTGCCAGAAACACTGTTTCTTGTAATCAATGATTATCATTCTCCGTTACTCGCGTCTTTTCATGAGTATCCAGATATTAGAGTTGTGCTGTTCATTATTCAGTTTGGTAAAATATCATTATCAGTCAATTGACTGGAGGCTGATGCAAATTCCATGGTAAATGAAATAGCCAACATATTCAATCGTTTCATCACCTCTTTTCTTTAAACTATCAGCTACTACAAAGCATTTTTGTGTCTCCGTCTCATATCTGACAGGAGCTGTTCACGTGTCAAACTTACGTTAGGTATATTCATTCTACATGTGAAAGGAAAATGCGGATAGAAATCCATGATCAACCACAGAAGGATTCTCATGATTGCCTCTAAGTACTCAACATTAAGGTATGAAAGTTTCGGATTTCATGTAATTAAGAACAAATAAGTCAGCAAAGAGATCCCTTTTCCTTGCCACACTTCAAAGGTATACAGTTATTTAGGTGGTTTACATATGCAATACAGATTGGCAACAGAGCTCATAGGTTATTGTCAGTTAGTAACGAAGGAAACCAAATTCAAGGATCAAAACCTATGTTTGCAAAATTAGGAATAGTCTTTCTGAATACAAAACTCAGGTTTCTCCTTAAGGATTGCCAAGGCTTCAGCTGCTTGTAGAAGATGCAGGCGACTTAGTTGTGGTTTATATATACTGATGCTACATGATCAGAAGTAATGCCCCAGAATTGATTCGTTGACAATCATGATTGTAAGTTTCAGGATTTCATCATGAGCTGACATTAGTTAGAGAACCATTGGAAAACCTGGGAGTACTGGACAGCTGTTTCGTCCTGGTTTGGGACTCTTCAGCAGTACGCACCCACCGGGATTCGAACCCAGGACCTTCCGGTTACAAGGCGAGCTTGTATACCATTAAGCCACTGGGACCCGATCCAATGATCCTTGTAACCAGAAGGTCCTGGTTCGAATCCCGGTGGGTGCGTACTGCTGAAGAGTCACAAACTAGGACGAAACAGCTGTCCAGTACTCCCAGGTTTTCCAATGGTTCTCTAACTAATGTCAGCTCATGATGAAATCCTGAAACCAATCAAATCCCTACAAACCAACACTTGAATAGCATGATTGTAAGTGTTCATAAGCACATGTAGACCATGTCATTCTGGTACGGCCTACGTACTTAGCTCTACAGGAGGTAGTGAACTGGTAAATACACACAGAATTTTTCAACGGTGAGATCGCGACATTAAGTTTTTGATGAATAAGAGCATGGGTGGAGAAGGTGAGATGAAGAATAGCAACAATGAAGGTTCTTTGAACTGCTCTTGATAGACAGCTTCAAAGAACCTCACTAAATGTATCTTACTTGAATTTCAGATTTACAGTTAGTTGTTTTTTCGACGTATCCAGGTTTTGAGACCTATCGGTCTTTCTCTTTAGACGTTTGTGGATTAAGGAGGTTGGATATCCACTTTTGGTGAGAGTTTTTCTGAAGGATTCCAATTCTCTATTCAGTGCATACATGGTAGATTCTCGTGGCGGGGGGGAGTCTGTGTGATTTCTTTTTCTGCTCATTGGGACTTCCTATTATTCGTCTTTAAATATTTAACATCAAAAGAAACTTCAAACCATATGCCTGATATACGAAATATGACCAGTATCAGATAACTAAATTATTCACGTTATGATGAACGATGACCTGAAAATAATATATAAACTATTATCTAAATTTCACTCCATCTCTTTTTAAATTTATAAGAATTTTGGCTAATTCAAATGAAGATTTCGCAAAGAGTGAAAATCACTCAGAGGACCATTGATAAAATAAGTACCATTACAAAGTAGTTTTGCTTTAGCTTGGGACTTTTCAGCAGTCTGCACCAACAACTCCATTAAGGTATCAGTTTAAAGTAGTTCAAACCGATGTTTCATGGGAATTCAGTTCACTGACAAAGTCATTGATGGATTCACCTCATGACTTGAAGGTTCTGATTTCGATTGCACATGGAGTCGTTTGTGCACACTACTGAAGACTCCTAAATCAGGACGAAGTAGTTGTCCGACGATCATTCGTTTTCATTCAGTAAATCCATGTCTAGTGCCGGAGTCAGGTCAAAATCTTCATTGATATAAATTTCACATTATTCTCAGAAATAATAAGTAATTGTTTAAAGCACTTTGCTTGAAACAAATAAATAAAAGTAAAGTAAATTTAGTTCTGTGTTTTATTCCGTTCAATGTTCAATTTTTCATTTCTTTTACTTTCAAAGTCAGATAAGTTTGTTGTTATAAAACATGCCCATACAAATGAAGCAATTGCCGTAGAGGAGAAATATCCATACAAGTAAGTTTAGAATCTTTTATTTTATTTCTGCATCTGGTAGAAACATTTAGCCCTTTTGTTCAAATCATTTATTTTTAAATTAGTTCATCAGACAATAATAAAGACGATGGTGATGATTAATGCCTAGAGATGAAAGATTTCAGCAAAAAGATTTCAAGTGATGGAACTAGAAATTGATTAAATCTGTGAAAGTAACACTTAAAAATAAATCTGTTGTTCACTAATGACTGATTCCGTAATGGGGCTTCTGGAGTTTTAATGCAAAGGCTTGACCAGTGGGATTCATCAAGTCGAATGTGACGATAAATACCCATCAGTCACGTTGACTGATGGCGCTGGTACAAAATGACAGGAGTTGGAAATCATAGACTGTTGGATTTCGTTCCAGCTATTGAATGATCACTACGCTGTCTACGTAATCCAAATGTGCTGGGTTCGATCCACTGTATGAAGTGATGGGGATTTCCTGATGTGCTTACCTTCTCGTACTGAAAACAAGAATTAATGTCAAATTATGTTTTGGAGAAACTTACCCTGGATATTCCTTTTAATGACTAACGAAAGCTGAAGATAATCAGCCCAAAATTTACTAGTAATTTTTCCAGACACTTATTAATATTTCTTGTCACGTAGCTCCATTATGGATAAGATTTTATTTTGATAAATCACACAGTGTTATACAGTAATACTAACTGATGACGTTTAGAGCACAAACTATTGCTCCTAATCATATCAAGTTACTCACACAACTTTTTCCTTCATTTATATACATCTGTGGAATCGACTAGATATTGGATTAAAATTCAATATGAGATCATGCACATTCAGAAATAATAATACGAGTGTTATTGACCAATTACAATCAGATGGGAAATAAGAGGAGTGTTTTTATAGTCATAATTATAGGTAACTTGTTAGAATGTTATGATGTGCTTGAATTGAAATAGAATTTTAAGATTATTTATTATCCTCTTCTGATTTGACTGGCGGTAATAATATCTTCCATATTTCTGGTATTTGCATTGAGTCATTTCTGTTGCATATGTTGGGGTAGACTCAATGTACAAGGATTCCGTAATCAACCTCTCTCTCCACCTGCCTATATTAATTATTAGAATTTTAACTCTATCCCCCCCTATTGTGTGGTTGCTTGTTAATGCGTGAAGTGCAATAGCTGAGCTTTTTTCTAAATTACTTATCTTTTAAGGGTCAACCATTCTTCCCTTGACTAAATTCTTATCTTCCGATAATCTAATTACCTCAGACCTACTAGCTTGACCTATGTAGTTGACTCAACTCACTCATTCCAGAGTATTTTGTAAATTATATTATTTTGTCTAATTGGGCCAACAGGGTCCTTTAACCTACAGAGCTTGTCCATATGTGAGTTTGTAGGTTTGAATGCCACCCAAATTCCTGCTTTATTTAGAATCCTACGTAGAGAGGGTATCAGATGTCCCCTCCTTATATGGTATAACTGTAGATGACTTACATTCTCTCTTATTTATGTTATTATTAATAGTTTCACAATTATTTTTATTTTTTGTTTGGCCTTTTTTCGATCTTCCTAATGAATTTTAAAGGTTAGTTATTTAACACCAAAGCCTCTTCTATCTGTTTTAGTTCATCATTTAGGTCTTTTCTTGTGCTACTTAGTGCTCTGGCTCGGTTCGTTAGACACTTAACTAAGCCTGCCTTAACAGTTAATGGATGAAATGAATTAAAGCCTAAATATCTATTAGAATGCGTTGGTTTTCTATAAAATTTAATGTGTTGTTTACCTTCTTCTATTCGTTTTATTTTACAATCTAACATCTCAGCTAATTCTACTTGTTCATTTTCCGATTCACATGTGAATTTTATTCCCCCTACTATTAAGTTTATATGTGTGAAGACGTTAGAGATATGTTCTGTTTTTAACACTTTGAAAGTGTCATCTAAATATCTTCACCATATTTTTGGAATAGGATTAAATGTATTTTCCCAGCTATCCATAAATATGTCTGCTGCGATAGGGGATATTGGTGATCCCATTGCTACACCTTCTCTTTATCTATATATTTTACCCTGAAATTTAAAGACAGTAGATGTCAGTCATAACTGAATCCCTTGTCAAGTAGTATTATGCTAGGATACTTACGATATTTACTTGACAATTAATGCCTACAGACTTTTAATCAGATGGCTGCAGATCATTAAAATCAACACACATGTATTTATCCTTTATGATTTTACACACTCCGATGTTGTTCACCAATCTTCATTGAATTTCTCTGTTCATCTCAATCATATTTTTTTCCAAGTGTTGCATTGCTGTATCTCTGTACCCTTGTTTTGTGTACTTTTTTGAAATATATCAACTTAAAATTAAGCGTATCTGTGTATCAATCAAACTACATCTAAACTTTCCATATAAGTCTCTAATTAAATTATAGAGGCATTAGAAATTCTGTTAAAAATATTCTGTATTCCCACCTGAATGATTTCACTGGCGTAGGATGTTCTCAGTCAGTTGATTAATGCACTACTAGTATGGAAACTTTGATTTGATATTACATATTTGATGGAGACTAGTTAGGTAAATTCAAAATGCCCAACTCATCCCATATTTGCGAATCACCAGGTGAATGTACTAGTATCCGAATGAGCAATGGTGTTCCAGCTGAGATGTAGATACTTCGCCCGAATTTTCAAACCCTAAAGAGTTAGTTATCCACTAGGCTGTCATCCACGGAAGCAAAATAAATCAATCGTGGTAACTTCAAGACATCATTCATGACAATAAAGACACAGCATTTCGGTCTGGTAAAACTAGTCAATCGGTAATTCAAATCCATGGCAACAACTAACAAGTGATACACTTTTCAAAAAACACGGAAACTGCGAATGTTGATATTAGTATATTAGATTGCAGCTTATAGCCGAGAAATTTTAATGACAGAGCACCATTAAGAAAAACAAGTAATATATAATTGTTCCTTTCTTTGTACGAGGATTCCCAAGCACACATACTTGTGACGTAACCAGATACTGAATCCGGCACCGTGAAGTTTTAAGGTGGGGGAATCTAGTCACTAGTAGGTGTTTTGCGTTTGTTTTTTTTTTCGCATTTTGAGTAGAACATAAGGCTTCAACTATCCTGAAGTTTCGTTACCGTTTCTACAGAGTGGAGGTGTTACCCTTACGCTTAACCTCCTCTTTTTTACTGACTTACTCAAAACTATTAAACTAGGAGAGTTTAAAGGTTGCGTTGTCTGGAAATGGCCCCTGGACGAAGTGGGTGGCTGGCGAGCACTCTACCACTGAAACACCAATGCACTCATAGTTGAATAACCTTAAACTCAGTCTAATTGACTATATCATTTATGAATTCTCAATAAAGTTTTATTAAAAAATAATCTTAAAAATATTCACTGAACCACACTCAACTAAAAATGGAACAGATATTGTTGTCAGACGCTTAAGTTCTATTAGCATGAATTCTTAGGCTTATAGAACAATGAAATATCATGAACATGTTGAATTTTCACTGTGACCTACTTAAATCACTATTATTATTATTCCAATAATGGATAGCTGTTTCGTTCTAGTTTGGGACTCTTCGGTGGTATGCACGCATGATTCCACAAGGGATCAAACTAAGATCAGATCATGATCAAACTTGCAATCAGCTAGATCCCCGAAAGTCGACACTTGAAAATTAATCTTATACTGAATAGTGTCTGAATGCATGATAAAGTTTCCTGGAGTTTTAATGAGCTGTCACCAGTGAGGTCCACCAGGCTGGATGTCACGACAAATCCTCACCGATGACAATGACTGGTAGCGTAGCTAGAATTTCGAGTTGATGGAAGTTAGAATTCGCAGACCATTGAATTACGACTTAATCGGATGGATGGATGGATAGTCGACGTGCTTGGAATTCGTAACCTGAAGGTCCCATGGGTGAATACTGATGAAGAGGTACAAACAAGGAGGAAACAGCTGTCCAATACTCCTTGGTTGTTAGTAGCTCTCTAAAATATCATTTCATAATTGAACCTGAAGCAAATCAAATCCCTGCAAACTTACAATTGAGAATACGCAGCTATTTACTGAGTTAAACAGCTACCGGAGGAACCTTAGGTAAATCACTGTATGATATAGAGTGCTTAATATCATTAACAATAATTATTGACGCTTTTTTCATTCAAAATACCAAAAGACCTTCACACCTTTACTTGACTAACTTTAGCTCTATAGTGTTGACCTGATGATTTAGTCAGTAAAAGTAATTAAATTCCGATTAATTGATTGAATAGTAAGGCGCACATTTTAAAACTTTGTTGTACAAGGTAAAGATTTTCATGGAATTATGACTAAGCAAAAGATTCTTTTAGAGTTTCTGAATTGTATTTATTTTCACTGACTTCTCATAGTGACAATTTACCTTCAAAAGTAGCACAATCACTGAATTGTTCTGCTTTAATTTCTTTTTGGTTTTATAATATCTCTTATTGTTGTCTACATTAAAACTAATATTTTATATAAATAATGAAGTATATATTTACAATGAAACATTAAAGCACACAGATATTGTTATACTCCATCGTTTGTGTTACTTTCTTCATGTCATATCAATTTAAATATGACTTCATGTACCGCATTTATGATTCATGTATTGATCTCCATCAATGTATATATGTATAAGCGTTTATTGAACAAATGCTTGAACTGAACTATTTATTTTGTTTAAATTGCGAAATGCCATGCTCAAACTTGTGAAGCATTAACAGTGACTAAAAGGAAACTAGCTTACACGTCTAGCGTTAACTAATTTCATAGAATATTATTATGTTGTAGAAGTCTAGATAGGAGACAGACATTAATAGTATAAGTAAGGTAACGAATTCAAATGTCAGTTACAGGTGGTATGATTTTCTTTTTTGTTTAACGATCAGCTTAGAGATAACATAGACCAACAAACAATCCGTGAACTTGAACATGTTGACAAAATCATT